TGATACCGTATACTATATTCTCTTGTCCGATGTAATGTTACTTGAAAAGAATATTAGAGCGTGGAACCAAGAAAAGTTTAAAAACCGCGGTATAGACTGAATATTTACTACGGTATACCGCAGTTATATTTGGAGCCAACAAGCCAATGATCTGAAGCAGGAGAATTGCTATTAAGGTTGGCGGGGGGGAAGGCGGGTTGGAGGGGCATGGTGTTAAAACGTTCCTTATGTCAATAGCTGGAGAAAATATTTTGCTATGATTTGAATCACACTATAAATACATCATTGATTATCTGGAAAATATATTTATCTGAAGAAGAAAAGAAAAAACAACCATCTCTGCTCAAAAGAAAATCGCACGCTCAGCCACACTCGCCTGGAAAATCAAATTATCAGTACCTTACAAAAAGTATTAATTTGCTGTCTTTATTCTTATTATTGTATCAGTCGACGTGCAAACACTGTAACCATCGTGGGATGATTAAGTTTGCACTTTACTTGACACTCTGTTAAAGACATTGTGCCGATATTAGAGTTTTTCATATAAAGGACGTGTTGACGCTGAAGCCTACAACTTACTAGGCACTGTAATAATATAATATTAAAACTTTGTGTGGGATGCCAACACCCTGGCACGATACGTATTAGATATGGCCAGTTATCATAAAACACGCTTTATCAAGAAATGGGAATATAAGCTAATAAATAAGTAAATCATGAATTTTTATTTCGTTTGTTTTAATCTAAAAGTTGGAATTGTAAACAAAACACCCTGCAACGAAACACAGATTTCACTTCCGAATCGTGACAATGGCCTTATTACTCACTGTGCACAGTCGCCGAAATACACACTGACAACCACACAATAAGCTCACATTCTAAACAATAAACAAATGCCTTTAAATCCTTACCAATAATGCCTAAAACTAACTCTTATATCACCACCAAACGGAGACAGGAAAAAATGATCTAAAAGTAGACAGGGACTACATTCGTGGGTACTGAACCGGAATTATTAATTGTGTCCTGATTCCAGCTTTCACAACCTCCTACTGGCCAACGTGACAATTGAGACGTGACACGTGTCAAATGTGTGATTGTCAAGGAGAACAAGTTGTTCACGTAGGTTATTCCCTGCTGTATCAGTAAAAGAACGAGTATATTATTGATATTCCTCTATTTACTATTATACATCAATCATAGATATGCATCTAACCACTAACGAATCTACATCTACATACAAACCGATCTTCATCCCTGCTATCTTCAAAACACTACAGCCTTCAGGCTTTTCTATCATACCTCTCATCTTTAGTCATGCCCACATTAGCTTTCATAATTAACTTAAGTCTGAGACACCATGACATGGTTAAATGATCATAAATATAATTACATTTGAAATATTCAAAATTAAATTCAGACAAATACAACTATTTTGTAAACAAACTTTAAATTATTTTGTCATGGAGAATCAAAATATAATATCAAGGTTATGCAAGTCGTAAAAAATAATTATCCTGTAACATCCGCTTTGATCTTACTGACGGAAGCAACCTGATTACTGGTGCATTGGAAAAGTACCGTGGTACGTTCCACGGGGAGAAACAAATTCTACGGTAAAACCGGTAAAAAAACGATAAAACCGCGCACCTCTAGAAAATATACTTAATTGGTACTAGATTCTTACCAGTCTTGCCTTTTGAGCAAATGGTAAAGATATGGATAATTAAATCAGTTTGTTAAAAAAAGCAGTTTGCGTAATAATGCACACCCATACAGTACACATACCTACATGCCCAGCTCTAAGGCAAGACGAACGAGGCAACTGCCTTGGACCCCACGCTTCTCCGCAATACAGTTTTTTTTTTTTTTACCTCCGACCCCGAGCACATCGCTTGCTGCCTTAGGCACAGCACATCCTAGAGCCGGGCCTGCATACATGCACACATACACTTAAACTTTCCCATTTCTCTGTTATTACTACTTATGACGATAATATTGCTACCCTTACTTGTTAATTTGCTATCAGGTGGGTAGTCAAGTGTACTTTATCTCACGATAATGTATCAACAGATGCGAATGTAGCTCCTAACGAAATAGTTTCGACAAGTTCTTTAACGGTGCTACTTTGGGATAACAGACAATAAATGCAGATGCAATTGGGTTATGTTTGGAATTATTATTCGTCCGTAACATCTAAATGTGGTAAATGGAAAAGAAATATCATAAAGCAATGTATAGAGATGACCAATATATACATATATATATATATATATATATATATATATATATATATATATATATATATATATATATATATATATATATATATATATATATACATACATACATACATACATACATACATACATACATACATACATACATACATACATACATACATACATACATACATACATACATACATACATACATACATGCATGCATACATACATATATACATACGTACGTATGTACGTAAGTACGTGAGTGAGTGAGTGCGTGCGTGCGTGCATACATTCATACATACATACATACATACATACATACATACATACATACATACATACATACATACATACATACATACATACATACATACATACATACATACATACATACATACATACATACATACATACATACATACATACATACATACATACATACATACATACAACAGCCTCAATCTTACTGTTGTGGGTGCTCTCTCTCTCTCTCTCTCTCTCTCTCTCTCTCTCTCTCTCTCTCTCTCTCTCTCTCTCTCTCTCTCTCTCTCTCTCTCTCTCTCTCTCTCTCTCTCTCTCTCTCATCTGTTGATCTAAAAATCAATTCAATGAAACATATCCAGAAAAAAAATTAAACATTCATAGGCCTTCAAATTAAAATAAGAATATCTCAGCAAATTTAATTACAATCTTTTCTAACAATGGTTCGGTTTTCATCCAGAAAATAATTCGCCAAATAAGTGTGAAGTATGATAATATGCCACACTGGCTCTTCAATTTAAAAGAGTACCATAGATCGTCTTTAATATCGCTTTTTGCCTCTATCTCATTGGTGGTTGTTAGAATAGTTCGATTTGTGAGAATGAATTTAAAATGCAAGATGCCTTGTTTGAGGAAATATTAGTATAAGTTGCTGGTTTCTTCTCTACTCTGGTGTTGATTTAGACTGCCCCTCGACTTTTACATCTGCATGGTTCCATGTTTCCGGTTCATATATTCGGTTCATCATATCATGCATGACAGTACCTGTAAAATATTACTTTTCCTGGAGTGTTCCTATAATAATCCTTTCAAAAGGTTTTCTTTTCTATAGAAATTAAGCAAAGACTAATGTCAGATATATGTTTCGACCAAGCGCAAGTAAATACCGAAGATCGTTGTCCCGTCATTATGTTTTAATTGTGTGGGCAAATAACGAGTCCTGTTCAAACAGTTTCCTCCCTGATATTTGTTCTTTATTCCGATAGATGTCAATATATTGGCGAATCATGCGAACAATTTTCCCGTCTAGAAGACACTTTATTGCTTATATATTCGTGGTCTTTGAAACGTTTATAACGTGCCAGAATTATAAATCATTTCTCTCAATTCACTTCGTAGGCGTGCAGGTATCCACAATGGAGAAAACTTGAGGCTGCGTGAAATGACAATGTAGATTTATAATGTGTGGGAATAGTTCTTGACAATTATTTCATAGTGCTTAAAGGCATATAAGTAAAGTAATTTCCTTCGTTTAAATTGTAATTATGTATATGTATATATATATATATATATATATATATATATATAGATATATATATATATATATATATATATATATATATATATATATATATATATATATATATATATATATTGATTTGCACATGTTCCTACAGGCTATTTAATATAAGGATGACGGCCGGTCTCGTTAGACAATGTTTTTGATCTGCACATGTTCCTGTTTGAGTGCTTGAAAGACTTAATATAAAGTTCACGGTCTGTCTCATCAATTTCATGATCTGCACATATTCCTGCTTGAGAGACTTAATATGACGATGACGACCGGTGCTCAAATCCAATTTGTTCAGCTAAATCTAATCCTAAAAGTCCATAGCCATTGTTGATGACAGAATTAGGTCATCCGGTCACTGCAACCGTGAAAGTCAGTTAATTCCGTATATTTGAAAAAAGATCATTTAATTGACAATAATTGAATTATAATCTGGTAAAGTTTCACCACGTCTGTAATTTTTTCTGGGGTGAGGAAGAAAAACTGGTTAAAACAGACCCCTTATTTGACCAACAAGTCGTTTCCCATCATATTATTTTCCAACAATTACTCGATGGTCTGTCGCAAAAATCCACGAGTTATGACAGAAGTAAAAGAGCCATTGATAGGTGGTCAATTCAGAGCGGGTTGCTAGGAAACATGACGCGTTTTGAAACATCTAATGCAATGGTTAGAAATGAATTTGAGTCGCAGTCTAATTAAATCAGATGCTAGCTGCCTGAAATATAGAAATTTTCGAAAGGACTATCCTTCACTGAGTAAGTCTCTCTACGGTTGGTTTCATCATCGGCAAATAATTTGAGAAAAAAAGAAAAGTGCAACCTTTCATAAAATATCATAACATGTTTGGCAAACTTTTTGAGAGACAGTAACAAACTTTATCCTTTCTGAATAGAGAAACGTTTCCCTCCCCCTCTCTCTCTCTCTCTCTCTCTCTCTCTCTCTCTCTCTCTCTCTCTCTCTCTCTCTCTCTCTCTCTCTCTCTCTCTCACACACACACACACACACACATACACACAAACATACACACACATGATACGTTATTCTTGCTTTGCTACTTCGAAATGACTTTCAACATTCTTAGTTTCAAAGAGATGTTTATTGTTCGTTCTTATTTCGTCGTGCGTTTGATTCAGTAAATGGTGTTATTTCCATCATCTGGACACATGAAAGAGTAATTTCTGCATTTAAGGTATGGTTATTGGTAATATATCAAACATCGATGATCGAGTGGTTAATGCGTTGGACTCGAAATCCAATGGACATGGTCAGCGCAGGCTCGAATCCTGTTCGCAACGACATATAAATAATGCATGAATGATTCCTACTGATTATTCGACCTATACACTAATTGTGCAGAATTAAGTACTTGGCTTTTTGAAATCAGACAGATCGAAGAGACTGTTCAAATGGAATGTAATTGGTGTTCAAAGGGGGAAATAGAACAGGCTAACTTAATTACGTAAGGAAGGCACGCGATACTGTGCGCTGATCATTTACACTGTTACTTGTATTAAGCAGAATAACGTGTTATCTTTCCCTGTAATTCCGAGCTTTAAAATATTTTGCAATCATTTATGCCTATCATATTATATATATATATATATATATATATATATATATATATATATATATATATATATATATATATATATATATATATATATATATATATATATATACATACATGCATACATACATGCATACATACATACATACATACATACATACATACATACATACATACATACATACATACATACATACATACATACATACATACATACATACATACATACATACATACATACATACATACATACATACATACATACATACATACATACATACATAAACAAATAATTTAAAAGATGCAATCCATAAAAAATAACAATTAATCGGAAACAATTATTGAATGAATTATGTATTAATGACTAGTTTTATTACTGTCTACCATCCTGTACGTTACCCGGTCTAGATGGCAACATATTAATAAGGAAGCTGCTTTTCAATACGCATCAATACTGCTTAATTCTGACATATGAAGATAAATCCAAGATTGATAATGTGTAGGAATTGCTACTGTCATGTACTTTCTTAAGAAACTGAGACTGTGAGACGTGACATTGTTTTGGTTGGTTTCTTTAAAGTTTTAAGGCACATTAACAAATTAAGGTGATTCAGTGCAGATTCATCTTTAATCTCCTAGCTTTTCTATCTAAATTATTTTGATCAAAAGCGATGTAATTAATATTCAAGTTACTGCTGTTTATGGACAAATAAAAATAACAAATGAACAATACAGCAGCTTACTAAAATATCTCAATCAAAAGGTTTCTGAAAGTCATTTTTGTGTCTCAGATACGAAGCTCATCTGATCGTTAAAGCTCATATATAAAATAAATATATTCCTATCCAAATTCCACTGTTCCTCACGAAACACGTGCGAGTTTATTAGGACTTTGAATACATTTGATTAAATAATCTGTAAATGTAGAGAACATGCAGGATTTGTAGAATCTGACAAATGTATGATTAATTTGTTGTAATCATTATTACGGACACAATAACTAAGAAATGCAGTACAGAAATATACACACGAAACTGATCGTTCAGACGACATTTGCGTACATTACTCTATGTCTTGGATATTCGTGGAGAAACATTTATCTAAAGGAATCATAATAAAAATATAAAATCTAACATAGAAACATTTTATGTATGTTTCCTTCCTCTTGCTATCGTGACCTGATTTTCATTCACTCCCTGGTTTTCTAATTTTCTGACGTCAAATATTATATTGGAATACTTTTAAATATGGAGTCTTTGTTTTGTAATGTTAATTTATAAAGACGCTAAATTAGTTCCAACAGTTAATGCTTTGATATACACTGTTATACACTATACACACTATTATATACTACATGCACTAAAATAAACTAATATACACTGTTATGCACTATATCACTGATATATACTGCTATAAGCTATATACACTGATATGCACTCTTATACAGTATATATACTGATATACACTTTTCTTTTCGTTTATTTAGCCATGTTTTTGTTTATAACGGCAATGCAGCAAATGAGTCCATTTGAACAAACTTACTGAATAGCGGTCTTCTAAACCTTGCAGTCAACACTATGCTCCCAAATATGGCCTTAATGGAAAACCATTTCACAGAAAAACTACTATACCACTATTATTAACCTTATTTAATAATAATAATAATAATAATAATAATAATAATAATAATAATAATAATAATAATAATAATAATAATAATAATAATAATATGTGGATTTTCACCAGATTCACTATTCCTAAGCAGATCCTTGAAGGTTCCAAGAAGAATGTCACAAATGGTTCATGTAGCAAAATCCGCGTACTACAATAATAATTTTACTGAAAGTTCCAGCTGAAATGAGTTCTTGGAAATTACAAACAATATATATGCTTAACAAAACAAAATTTCAGTTTACTCATCGTCACCATACAGTTGTAATCCAAAATATACATGGAACCCTTTAACAGTATTTGAACATGTGTCTATGGATTTGGTCAATAAGTTGTGAAAAGAACGCCCCAAAATCATATGAACTCTATCCCAAGGAAATGTGACAGTATACATGTTAATAAAGAACTCGTATATTCAGATCCAAATCTAGTGAATCAAAATAATGTTGTTCTGAAAAGAGCATATTGGTTCAGAGATCCTTCCGTTATAGTTCTCAATTTTAGAATGACAGAAACTCTGAACGCTATTGTCACCTACTATCAAAAAGGAAGTGTTGAAGCGTTACAATAAATATTTTATTGTGCATTTATAACATTGTCATAATAAAATGTTAAATTCCGTAGCAAGTATTTTCCGATCATATACAGGACAAAATTAAAATACGGAAAATCAAATATTTAAAGACGGAAGTAAAAAAATCATAAATAGATTCTAAATATTCTACATGGGGTGGCATAATCCTACTTAATTGCTTACAATATATTTTATACCATTGTATAATTATAATTCATTGTAATATAATTACAACATAATTATGTGCATGGATTTCTATTTTTAAGAAATTTGAAAGTATTTTAACCACTGCAAACAATTATCCTTCCAAATACGAACAAGTTAGTAGAGATATTTTTTATCAACTTTTCATTTCATGTGTGCAAATATCTGGCAATGTCATCAATTATCATTCATGCATTTACATCATGTTTATCTTGGTGTTATAATAAGTTGATTTCATTAAATGATATTTCCATTGAGAATTATCTTTGAAACTCTGTTTGCAAATACATATTTACTGCGTAAATCTTCGCTATGTATGTATGTATGTATGTATGTATGTATGTATGTATGTATGTATGTATGTATGTATGTATGTATGTATGTATGTATGTATGTATGTATGTATGTATGTATGTATGTATGTACGTAAGTATGGATGTATGGATTGAAGGATGGATGGATGCATATATATATATATATATATATATATATATATATATATATATATATATATATATATATATATACATACATACATACATACATACATGCATACATTTATTGCACTATTTTCATTCCTGCCGTTTCTCACAAACGCAACAATACAAAAGTATCCTGAGACTGAGACCTGACATTTGTTTGGTTTGGTATGCCGATTCAATAGGATATGTAAATTATTCGTTTCCTTAAAAATTGATTGCGAATTCCTCATTTACGCTTTGCCTCTTCATTGTAAGTTCCATTATTATCTCAAGAACAAAATTCTTTTTTCTTGACATTGAAAAGTCAAGAAATCAATATCCAACTTATAGATAAAATTATTACCTCTTTTTCCTCAATAAAACAAATGTTCTGTCGTGTTCACGTACTAAATGAACAACCAATGCTATACATCTTCGATAAATTATTGCATTTAAATACACGAATGCTCTTTCGCAAAACCAAATTTTCCTCTTTATTTCTGTCACATGCCACTACTGTGGAGACATACTGATTTTAATTATGACTGCGTCAGACAATAAAGCATTGTCCTGAAGGTGATTCTTAATACAAATAATACATTGTCCTCCATATGACCCATAATACTACTAATACATTCTCCCCCAGATGACCCATAATACTACTAATACATTCTCCCCCATATGACGCATAATACTACTAATACATCGTCCTCCAGATGACGCATAATACTACTAATACATCGTCCCCCAGATGACGCATAATACTACTAATACATTGTCCCCCAGATGACGCATAATACTACTAATACATTGTCCCCCAGATAACACATAATACTACAAATACATTGTCCCACAGATGACGCACAAGACTACTAATACATTCTCCCCCAGATGACGCATAATACTACAAATACATTCTCCCACAGATGACGCATAAAACTACTAATACATTGTCCCCCAGATGACGCATAACACTAGTAATACATTGTCGCCCAGATGACGCATAATACTACTAATACATTCTCTCCCAGATGACGCATAATACTACTAATACATTGTCCTCCAGATGACGCATAATACTACTAATACATTGTCCCCCATATGACGCATAATACTACTAATACATTGTCCCCCAGATGACGCATAATACTACTAATACATGGTCCTCCATATGACGTATAATACTACTAATACAATGTACCCCATATGACGCATAATACTACTAATACATTGTCGTCCAGATGACGCATAATACTACTAATACATTGTCCCCCAGATGACGCATAATACTACTAATACATTCTCCCCCATATGACGCATAATACTACTAATACCTAGTCCCCCTGATGACCCATAATACTACTAATACATTCTCCCTCAGATGACGCATAATACTACTAATACATTGTGCTCCAGATGACGCATAAAACTACTAATACATTGTCCCCCAGATAACGCATAATACTACTAATACATTGTCCCCCATATGACGCATAATACTACTAATACATTGTCCCCCATATGACGCATAATACTACTAATACATTCTCCCCCAGATGACGCATAATACTACTAATACATTGTCCCCCATATGACGCATAATACTACTAATACATTGTCGCCCAGATGACGCATAATACTACTAATACATTGTCGCCCAGATGACGCATAATACTACTAATACATGGTCCTTTATATGACGCATAATACTACTAATACATCGTCCCCCTGATGACCCATAATACTACTAATACGTTCTCCCCCAGATTACACTTAATACTACTAATACATCGTCCCCCAGATGACGCATAATACTACT